ATCCTTAAAATTAAACAACTTGCATTTTTTTTTTCCGAATACAAATATTTGTGATTATTCTTAACTCTAACTTTACTGTATTGAGATATAAGACATAAACGGTTATCCGGTAAAATGTTTAGATAGTCTAGAATAATTTTACTTATTTGACTAAGAGTATATGCATACGAATTTTATAATTGTGCTTAAATTATAACAACCATATCTAGGAAGGACACAAAACCACATCACTGTGGTAATTCTGTGTGTTTAAACAGTAATGATCGATAGGAAATATATTAAAAGTATCCCCTTAAATTTTAAGGAAATTAAAAATGAGTTCTAAAAATAAACTCAACCAAATATTTTTTAGATCATATTTGCTTCTACAAGCATCACATGTATCAAAACATATTTAATCATAATTCAATCACTTAATAGTAGTGATACCACTAATACATAGTTTATTATCAAAAACTTAAAGTTTTAAATCCTAAAACAAATAGACTAACCAGTGAAATATGTAAATTACCTGTAAAAAATTCATAGTTGTAAACGCCATGGTTTTTATTATTATAATAATAAAAAATAATAATAATAAAATCATGGCAGTAGAAATCTATTTTTTAAATTATTCAAATACGATTATGTCTTATTTACTATAAATAGTATATAAAAAATATTGTGTTTTTCATTTCACTCCCATTCATTTCATGAATATTTTGTTGAAACTATATTTATACTATTCAGTGTATTTTTTTTTATGACTTTAAGGTAAATCCTAATTTATTTTAGGTTTTAATTATACAGACTGATCAATTTATCGTTATATTATTTTTATCCTATGAATTACTCTGCCGCAATCTTCTACCAATCAGAAATAAAAATGTACATATTATATATTATGTAATATGTATATTTCATTGATAAAATTAATTATTAAAGTGATTTTACAAATTTTTTATAATTATTTATTTAAGTGCATGTAGTAACACTTGTAAAATGTATTAACAAAGACTTTTCATAAAATTAACTACCAAATAAATATTAAAAATTATTATATGCTATAAATAAACAATGAAATATATTTTTAAATAAAAATCGAAAGTTAACTATAGACAACTCGAGATAGAATAAAAAGAAACAAAATGTTAACAAGGGTTATTTTAATGGTAAAGTATAATGAAATTCCATAAACTTGTTTTTTTTACCAATTATACAAGAGTTTTGCATATGAGTGTAAAATTGACTACTTGAAAATCCTTTTAATTTAATTACTGGCTTGTTTATTTAACGTGTTACTCTTACTACAACATATAGAAAGTATATAAGTTATTAAAAATGTTTTATGGATGACCTCAATTTATATCATCTCAACTTTGAAATTATTAGGGAAAATTTTAATAATTCTTAGGATTTTAAAATTAATTAAAAATTGATTAAAATAATTAATTAATTTTTAAAATGTACCATTGAAAAATTGTATAATTAAAAATAAATTCCCTCACTTTTAAATAAAAATAATGTAACTAAAATTAATATAATAGAGCTTTATCAACAAATACCTATTTAAGGGTTCCCATAAGAATAGAAAAATATCAATTATTTAATTAATAGTATTTTAATACTAGTTTTCATATTAAAAATATTAAATGTAAGAAAAATAAAAATCTCTATCATATATTTAATTACCCTATAATTGCTACATATGATGAGATGGTATAAATTATGTGCAGAGATTGGCAATACTTTAAATTCAGCACTTGATATCAATACATACATATAGATTTAGTATGTTAATTATTTTTTCTAATTGAATTTATAATCAATATTCAAATTGAAATTGTTCGGCGAGTAAAAAAAGTTCACCATGTAAAACTCATTTCGTAAACTACCGAGTACATATTTTTTTCATGTCCACTGATATTACATATCAGTGTAGTATCAAACTACATATTACTTTTGAAAATATTGTTTTTTATATAATAATCTAAGAATTTTTTACAGCAGGTAGCGTACCCTACACAATTTAAATTAACATACCATTTTGTATCCTATTTAGGTCATAATGAGTTATCACATGAACTTTTCTTGTTTTAAAATTTAAGAAAAGAACTTTTTTTGCTATAGTATATTTTTTATTTAAGTATTATTTTTAAACTGTTTTCAGAAACTACTATCTTTTTCAATATTTACCATTTTCAATTAAATAAACTTTAATATCATGAAAAAAATTTAACAGAATTTTATGAACGCCATCTTCGAAGATAATTTGTTCGATATTTATACATATTTTATCCGTACAATTCATACTTTTCTTCGTATAAATAAAAGTTAAACTAGTAGTTGATAAGGTGAATGACAAGATCGCAAAAAAACAAACTCGTCAGCGGAAACGTCTTCTAGACAGTGACACTAACTCAAAGACAGAACCGTAATGCTATACATTTACTTATTTACTCACCAAACAAAAGCAAACTTTTTACAATTCTATTTTCATTCGGGTTTTTCAGAAAAACTTACACGCATGAACTTTTTGTAAAACTTTAGAGTTATATGATGATAAAGTAGGTATAAACTTAAGTACACTATGTTAAAAGAATCATAATTTACAAGAGCTTTAGTTCACTCCTGTGCACCTATTGCGCTATATTATTTGTTACATTTTCATTAAATGAAGCTTTTAGCATAGAATTTTGTAAAAATATGTTTTGTTCTCCTGTCATTAGATTTTAGATATATCTAGATAATATCAATAAACTAAAAATTTTGATCATTTGTAAGAAATCTCACTCGAATAAATTTGTAATCAACAGTAGTTTTTACCGAATATTATTTCTACAGTTAGAAAAAAATTATCTTAGAAGTTTTTAAAAGTCAATTGACATTTCCTTGTTAAATTATTAACATTTTGATTATGTTACCTCTTATGATAAGATACATTAATGAGTATATTTTATTTATATTTATTAATAGCTAAAAAACAATAAATTACATGATAATTATACGATTATATTTTTGTTTGATAACATATTTTTATACAATTTTTGGAACTATGATTTTTATAGTTAATTTTTTCTTTTATATTTTAAATAATGTGTAACTAAATTACTAACAGTAGTTAAAATCCATTAAAGTTTATTTTCATATCTCAAGAGTATTTGAATTAGTTTAAAGTTATCTTGCAATTTTTTTTTTGTTTTAAATAGTTTACAAAATAGGTATTTTAATAGACAGAATATTGTTTTACAGTTGGTAATATTAAACTGTTGAAAATCGGGCAATTATTATATAAAAAACTTCAATCGCTATTAAAAATAATAATTTAGCAAGGAATTTGTATTTTTCATTTCAAATAAAAATTAACAATTTAATTTTTTTAAATAATTATGTTACTGAGTATATTTTTTAGGCTCATTATTGTTATTTTATAAATCACAAAACAAACTTTAACCTACCTAATTAGTTTAAAAATTTTATTTTTTGACTTATTTTACTGGAAAGTCTTAATTTTTAGGCAGTTGTTAATATTGATTTTGATGCCCTATTTATAGATTTTGAATAATTTGAAAAACATTTAAAAAAATTTCAACATGATATAAACTTAATTGCCTTTTTAAACTACTTTTGAAAGTTTTAAATGGACCAAATTTTTCTTTTATGATGTTTTATGATCAAGTTGTACGTTCAAAATTAATTATTTTTCGGTAAGTTGTATGAAAATGGTGATTATACGGTGAAAATATTATATAAGTATACTTTATTAAAAATAGTTTGAAAGTAGTAGATAAATTCTTTTTCAGCATAACAATTAACCTATCGTCATTGCATTAAAACTGTCTTCAAAGAGTAGTTAGACTGCTCTACCAAAAAATATAATACTTCGTTCTTTGTAAAATTATAAAGAAATATTGGTTTTGGATAAGTTCCAGAAAAAATTCGTTTAAATCAACCATTTAATCTTACCAACGTTATATATTATAAAAGCTCGACATTTCAAGCGTGAAATATAAACTTTTAATCTTATTCCTAAAATCAAATTATTTCTATTATTATGGCATTAGTTGACGAATTAGTCTTGACAAGATACCGTTTTCCAGGTTTTAAGTCCGAACTTAATCAGTTAAGCTGTTTTTAATTTTTTAGAAAGAACATTTTTTTATTTGTTAACTTTTTCCAATAAAAATGAAAAAAAGATAAGTGTTTTTTGCACCAACTAAACACGATTCATTAAAAAGAATTAAAAAAAAAAACAAAACTCAAAATCATCCAAATATTAAGCAATAAAACGAACATCATTCCAGACTATTACTCTCTTAAGTAGTCCCTCAAGACGAATTTAAAACTTGAATGCGTGTTAAAAATATTCCATTCAAATAAATTGTAATTTGAAATACATCTGAACATGTTTACGAGAAAAAAAATGAAAATACTTTGTTGGTTTTTGACTTAGTAAGAGTAAATTTTTTCACTTTCGTGATTTCGTCGAAAAATATTTATATAATGCCTATTATAGTGGTCATGAAATAATATCAAACGTGATTTTTAAGAATGAAACCTAATTACACCAATCTAAGATAAAAGAAATTAATTGCGCCTAAACTTGTTTGATTTTGAATTTTCAATTTAAAATAAAAAGGAATGTAAATTATCAGAAAAAGTTAGTTAAACAAACAGTTTAACTAAATGATATCGTTGCTATTATACAATACTATCTCTCACCATCAATACCAAAAGCGTATTACTTATATAGTATTTCATTGTAAACGTTCTATATATGATAATTTAAATTTTTTTTCGAAATTAATAGATTTTTAGCAAAGAAGTATCGAGATAATCGAAATTAGATTTTTTACAAAAGTGGTTTTACATTTGAAATATTTAAACAGTTATATTTTTTAAATATGATGGTTTTTAACATTTTTGAGACTCCGCGCGAGTCCTCTTAGCGTGATACAATATTCATTGGGATTTAAATTTAAACAAAAAAGCTAGGCATTTGACAATTGATATATAAATACCTGTTATGTTCCAAAGTTCTCCTAAACAGTCATTCTTAAGGCGGCCTATACGATCCCTTTGCTGACGCTCGTTGCCCGCTTCTAGGAATCGAAAAACAAAGGCCCCAACGATCACATACCCGGCCACCAGTCCAAACAGGCCCAAATTGCTAAACAGGTGGGCAAAAAACTTACGAAGACATCGTCGAAAACGCGGTTCGGATGCCAACGTCACCGTATGATGCGGCGGCGGTGGCGGTATAAGTGACGAGGGTTCCGCGTGCACCGGCATGCCGGTAGCACCGGGACCGCTTTTGACCGTTAACGCAACGAAATACAAACTTTTACTTGGAACAGCCCGACGGTAGCTGTTTAAAGCAAGTTATGCACACGGCAAAAGCCACGAGACGACTGATTGGTGGTGGTCGTCATCTCACAATCAACGTCCACTAACGGCTGTGCGCACACGCTAACTGCCACCGTCACCCGTCGCAATACTGCCGTTTTTCCCTTTTGTCTATCACCTGTTGTACGATAATATATTTATAAAATTAAACTCAATGACTACCACTATTTTCAGTACGACTAGGACAATGTTACAAAATGTTTCAGATTTAATAATAAGTGTAATTTTGTCGTGATGATATGTTGCAATGAAATATTTCCGTTTTAATAAAGTAATTAATAATTGCTTAAATTTTTTAATGAAAGTAATTAATTATTCAATATTTGATAATTATTTTTATAAACATTCTTACACGGGTAACTTTAAAAATTCTGTCGAATGACTTTTCTTTTAATTTCTATAAATATATATTAATTAACAAATAAGAACCTGTTTTGAAAATAATTTTTAGTTAAAATAATTTTTATTCTGGATAAATTAAAAAAGTATCTCATATAAGTCTGCTCTTTATATGTTTACTATTTAATAAACCCTGTGTGCATAATTCAATTTTATAAAGGTTACATAGAGTTCTTTCTTAATGATACAAAAAAAAATCATATTAACTTCTTGGTATATGATTTGCCAAATGCTTCGTTTAGTCATGTAAAACATGTGAACTTCCTCTTCTCATAAACTCTTCTATGCGAATTTTAATAGTTATAACTTTGAAATTACAAGACTTCGCATCAAACTTAAAAGACTAACATTAAAAGTTATGCGGACGTCTATGTGATGATATTAAGTTAACATTTTAATGTACATAACATTGTTACAACATTACATTCCAATTTTTTTGGATGTTATAATTCACTGATTTCTAACTACAACATTATTAATTAATATTAAAATTCAATAACCACGGCTTAGACTTCATTAGTCTGAATGTTGATTATTGGACTTTATAATCAGTCGTTGTGATAAGAGGTGTCAAATAAATGGTTGTCCTTTCTCCCTCTAGGGTCTGATTACTAATTATGAAAAATAAAATATTTTATTTATTATACTTAAAATACATATTTAAATATTGTTTAATTTTAGAACAGAAGTATATACTTCTAATAATTTTTAACACAAAAATAGATAATTTAGCTGAATAGTTTCCTAAAAATAAATTAGCATATCTTTAAAAAAAAAATAGATAAATTTAATTTGAAATTTTATTATTATTTAGTACTTAAATTTTTTTTTAATACTCTCAAGTAATGTGTCTATAGGGTTTGAGCACAATAATAAATCATAATTTATTTATTTTTTGAAAATATGGTACAGTACAGAAAAATTATTTTCTAAGCTATTTCATTCTACTAATATATTATAAATATTTTGAAAAGGAAAATAGATTTTATTAAAATCTTTTTTTATATTGTACAAAGCAAGTTGGTGCAAAGAGTGCCGGTTTTCCTCGTTATAAACCCGATCTGCCATCACCGATTTTACTGATGGGGTAGAGAATGTGTGGGCTTTCCTACTCACACTCTCGTATTCTTCGAATGTGCGTAACTGCAGTATTATTACGGACACTTTTTTTTGTGTTATGTTACGTGTGGTAAGACGTGTCGTAGTTATTATAACTCAAAACTTAATAAAATAAAAAAGTGAGAATAAAGTTGAAAGTGAGAGTTACTTTTAATTCGGGGTGTGATTCGGGGGTCATAAAATTACATAAATATAGACTCTCATTGATTTTTAAAAATCTTACCTGATAATTTTTTCTTAGTTCTTATAATATCTTAAATAATAGTATTAATCAATAATAGACAAATAAAATAACACAATTCGATTTAGTTCACAACTTTAACACGTAAAAACTTCGACAATGATGATCACAATTTTCGCGTAGCGATGTCTAAAGCACGAAAAGAACAGGCCAGAGTGAGGGTTTACTCTGCCTTTTTATAATACTTTGTACCCTCAAAAATCATCATTGTCTTATTCTTACAATGTAACTGTTTATTGATAAGTAAGCATGGAATACATAAATTATTGTAGATGAATAGAGTATATAACTCATTTTGACATTTTATATATAACATCAACACAGTTTTTTACACATAAGATTAGGGTTGATACAATGCATTTAATTATTAAAATTAGCATAAAAAAAATATGACAAAAATAATTTATAGATTTCTTTTCAGAAGGAAAGATTTTAAAAGTGACTATTAATTGATTTATGATTATATCGTGTATATTACAATATAACTAAACAGTATGCGTTGTTTGACTATTTCTCTTAAATTTTTATTTAAATTTTTTTGTTTGAAAATGATAATGTCCTTCTAAGAATATACCAGTAAAGGTTCTCGGTTTACATTGGGATATCCAAAAGGACATTTTTGCTTACCACACAAATCTTAGTGTCACACCTAAAACGAAACGCGGCATTTTATCAACCATTGCACGGTTGTTCGATTTTATTGGGGCGCTTGGACCGGCGATTATTTGGGCGAAATGTATAATGCAGCAGATCTAACAGGAAAAGCTGATTGACATCCCTACTCTGCCTACACATATCAGTGAATTTTGGGATAAATTTGTGTCTGAACTTACGTTATTGCGTAACATCTCTTTACCACAGCATATCGATATCCGTACTGCAGTCGACATTCAATTATTAGGATTTTCTGATGCGCCGCAGAAAGCCTACGCTGCTACATTGTATTTGCGTGTGGCTTATGAGTCTGGTGAAATCGCCGCATTTTTCTTGTCCTACAAAACCAAGGTTGCACTACTAAAGACCAGTTATCTAGACGCATCGTTATCAATTCCACGTCTAGAGCTCTGTGCGGCCCTGCTTATAGCACAACTGCTTAATCAATTATATGCATCTCTATCAGCTGAAGTAGAAATTTCGAAGGTCCGTGCGTGGACTAACTCTACGATACTTCTTTCATGGCTTAAGACAGAACCAAAAAACTTCAAGATATTTGTCACTAACCGCATAAACAAAATACATACCTTGTTGCCTAAATGCTTGTGGGAATATATGTCTACATCCGACAGATCCTCCTTCTCGTGGTCTTTTGCCTAGTGCCAAGTTGAACTGCTCGCTTCATTGGAACGGTCCATTTGTTCAATTTCCAGAGGAAAAATGGGTACAATCAACATTTTGTGTTATCCCACCGCATGAGTTACCTAAAGCAAAAATCACGTCGGAGATTCCACTGCACGTCAGTATGGATATGGATAATGATAAGTAACTCTTACGTTTTTCCTCATTGACTCGATAACAACGAGCAATTGCGTTTATTTTATTGCGCGATTCTCTAACCTGGCATATAGCAATCCGCCTTGGTGGAAAACTAACGGGATCCGAGCTTGACTATTCGATTATGGTTGCAGTACAAATAACACAACAAACTTACTTTTCTGCATTATTAAAACAATTGCAAGGATTAGATGTTCGGATCACGCATCCGACTATAGCTCAGCTTGCGCCTTTCCTCGATAACCAGGGAGTTATTTGGGTAGGTACGTTACTCTTCATAAGTTAGGAACAGAAACATCCTGTACTACTGCCAGAGATGTCTCATTCGAGCATTCTGTTAATTCGTCATTATAATCTTAGTTTTCTGCATGGAGGCCCAAGATTGATACTCGCCATGCTCTCACGTAAGTTTTGGATTTTATTTGACCGTGATGCAGATCGTCGATTTATTTACACTTGTGTAACATGTACCAAGGTTAAGGCTTTGCACCCTGCTTCAATTATGGGTGATTTATCATCCTATCGTGTTGAATTACATCACCCATTTTTGATGTCGGCATGGATTTCTATTGGCACTTTAACCCGCCAGCAGCACTTCACTTCGGTGGACTGTGGGAAACAGCTATCAAGAGCTATAAATATCATCTGCAGCATGTAATTGGTAACCAAATTTACTGTCTTAGAATTATCTACATTAATCGTGCGTATTGAAGAAATCCTCAATTCAAGACCACTCACACCGATGTCAGTTGACCCCAATGATTTGTGTACATTTATACAAGGTCATTTTTTAATAGGTCAGTCAATTTTTTCATTGACAAAGAAAGGGTTAACGAACGTTTCCATGGACCGATTAGATCGATGGCACTTATTATAAGGTGCCTTATTCGACAATGCTATCAAAAATTTTAAAAATGTTGGACAACTGAATACCTCTTCACCCTGCAAAGCCGCCTCAAATGGTTTCAACAAACACCCAATATGCAAGTTAGCGACCTTGTAATTGTTGAAGCACTCAACCGCCAACCTACTGACTGGCCAATGGAACGTATAACTGCCGTCCATCCATCAGATAATGCGTGTAGTCACTATACGCACGCAAAACAGTATTTTAAAGCGACCAATCGTGAAACTGGTTAAATACCAGTAACAGACTAGCAAAACCTTCCTTATTTTAAGTATTTTATTCCATTCCTAAAATGCACTCCTTTTTGGTATTGAGACCATTTGATAATACAAGTTGTTCTTAGTTTTTTAGGAACCCTACTGTTTATAAAATTCTCTAGTTAAATTTTTTATTGTAAAAAAAAATTATTAGTACTCACTGCCCATCCCTTCCCCTAATCTTGGAAGGACGTCTAGGTCATTCAACGGAGGGTGTAATTTTAGGTACACATTAAAATGGGGTGACACTAGTTTAAAAAATTAAATACAGTAATTGGTATGAGCAAGTCAGTGGATCATAACATACACGTTTGTGATTGTCACAACAGGTATGCCGCTGACACTTTCCAACAAGTTATTATTGTTCTGCAGCCTTCTAAGGGACCGAAGATTCCGCGTTGACAATTTTCCGTAATTTTCACTAAAAACCACCACCTCCACCGTCGTAACAGTATGACGGTGCTGTTGTAAAGACCGGTCACTGCGACGTGTGGCATTGAAAACTAATTCATTCGCACTCAGTTATTCAATCGTTTCAGCCAAATCAATGCCAAATGTTTTGTGACGAGTATTACTTTGTCGCCACAATTGTTCAATTGAGCAACTCATCGGTTACGGTGTTATTTGCCTTCCTTGTGTCTAAAGTTTCACAGTATTCATCACCTCAAAACGGCAGTCGGTAAATATTAAGAATTTTTTGTTTGTTTAAAAGATTATACAGTCCACATATATATAATATATGTATTAGTTAGAAAAGAGAATATTCTGTTATTTATTCATAAGTAATTTGTTCTAATTTTATTTATCAATTTTTACTCTTGTTTGTTTTTTTTTTAACGAAATATCATTTTGTTATTAGTTGTACATGCGTTGTTTTGATTTACTATATTATAAGGTTCAAATACCAAATCTTATATTTTCTTTTCCTTCCGCAAAGGCATGGTCATACTATTTATTAGTTAAAACAAAAGGGTTACAAAAACGAAAATTGTCGATTTTTGAAAACATTTTTTTTCTGTTTTATCAATAAATTGAAAATATGGTTCTATTAACAAAAATTATAGTTTAGGTTTTTTTATATTTAAAAGGAATAAAAAAATTTATTAAAGTATATGTTACTGTAGAGATTTTTTAATTAAATACTTTTTTCCTTTATAAAAGTTCAAGATTTAACCAAGAAAATGAATGTTATCCTGAATGAATCAACATATGTGTTATAAATAACTGGAATAATACATTTTTTGATATGTCGGAATACATTTAATTCTCCCACAGTCTAAGTATATCTAAGATAACAATTAAACATCCAATTTCTATATTTTTGTTATTCGTTATAAAGTACTGAACCTTGTATGTACCATAAAAAAAATCTTTAGCCCTTAATATTTTCTGGAATAATTCATGTGGATCTAATCTAGTCATTTCATATTTTCCCTGTAAACAAAATCAATCAATAAAAAAATCAATTATTGATTTTTAAAAATGTAGAGATATAGTAGTACTTCTATAACTATAAGTATACATCTACATTTTTTAAGTGGCATGATTTAGTGTAATCATTAAATGATGTGAATAATTTTATTCACTATGAAAACTTACAGGTTTTATAGGACAATTATAATTACTAATGTTCATACTATCCAAAGTAAGTTTCCATCCATCTCTTAACATAAATTTAGTGGTGCTACATGCTTTTTTTGTAGTATAAACGAACGCGTTATTTGTCCATCCTCCTATTTTGTTAAAAACAGCCATGTTGATATTTGACTATGAAAAAAATTGAATGTTTTCCTTATTATGTTAAAAAAAACATTTTATTTTTATAAAAAAAAAAAATGTATGCTAACATTTAAAGAATCGTCAAATGGAACCGTATAGTTGATATTTCCAGTCAATATTACTTTCGTATTTGAAACTTTTGAAACGTGCAGGTTTATATCAATCAAATAATTTTTACTTGTATTACAATTAAAAGCTGCTATTATCTTCAATTTATATTCACCCTTAATAAAATTAACATCAATAAATTAATATTTTTATTTATTAGTCTATTACACTCGTTTACAAAATAATACATTTCTTCACAAACTTTTGTGCTAATTTTAAGTTTGCATTTAAATTTTTTCTATACCCTCAAATTTTTGATATATTTAGTAAAAACGAGTAATCGCTCATAAAATTTGTTTTTTTGTTTTTTTATCATAACTCATTCAGTTATTTACAGAATAAAAATTATTAAAATTTTTTTTTGGTTATCTTTAGTTACATATTATTCTTAAATTATTAACTATGTAATACTTTTTAATTTCATCTCTTATACCTTGTAAGGTTGTCAACTTTGATTTTTCAAATAAGAACATATGTTTTGAATTTTATGAAATATTTGAGATTACAATTTAATAGTAAATGGCATTTGAATTTTTAATAAAACTTTATTTGTATATTGGATATAAAAGTTTTAAGTTTCAAATTTTTTAGTTAATATACATGTATAATACATGAAGGATTACAAATACAGGTAGCTAATTGAATTTCTATGACATCGCTATCACAACCACGGAGCCTTTATTGTCAATTATGACTATAAATAGATATGCTTTCTGTATTGCAAGTTAGTGCATTTATAAACTCACAACAATGTGCCTTTACTACCATTGATAATAATACTAAATCCTATTTGTAATCCCTCGTGTTTTACACTTGTACAATATCTCAAAAATTTGAAACTTTAAAATTTTATATCTAATATACAACAAAAGTTTTATTAAAAATTTAAATGCATATTAACTATTAAATTAAAAACTGAAACATTTTATTAAATTCAAAATTTGTGTTCCCATTTAAAAAAACATAGTTGACACCCTTACAAGGCATAAGGAATGAACTTTAAAAGTAATATTTAGCTAATAATTCAAGAATAATACATAATTAAAGGTAATAAAAAAAAAATTTTAATTACTTTTATTCTGTAAATAATTGAATGGGTTATGATAAAATAATTACTCTGTATATATTTACGTAATATTATAATTTTTAAAAGGATATAGAAGTGATTTAGAGCTACATGAACATTTTTTTTGTGTTTAAAATACTTTGTATGAATGAAATAATTTTTTAAAAATAATTAATTAACAATTTTGTCAATTACTCACAGCTGGAAGATTAGGTCGAAAAAGTTGTTCATTGCGTATATTTTTTATCGTCATAATAAATGCAACAAAAATGATTATAAATAAACTATAATATTTTGATTCAAACATGTTACTGGAAAAATGTCAATTCTAATTTATTTTATTTTTATAACTACAAATTTATAATTAACGTGTATACTTAAATTTAACTAATAAATCTATTGCAATCATTTTGAGTATATATTTTCAATCATTTTTATTTTATACTTTACATACTTTCACTTTAATGTGATTTTAATACTGCTTACAATAATAATAATATTTTATGAACATGAAAAAATGCAATTTTAATAAGCTCTTATATTATAACATAATTATAATAATTTGTTTGCTGATTGTCGAATGGTACTACTGAATGTCATTTTTATAAATACGCCTATGTAATTATTTTTACAAGTATACAGACATAATTGACAACGTTTATAACTTTTGATACAATTATCATTTTGTTTAAATTATATTTTTTAAATAATTATAGTTCTTTTAGGCTAGGTTAAAAGCATATTTTTTTTAATTTATTACTAAGGCTACTTTTACTTTGAAATATTTTATATTATTAAATTTAAATATTTATTTTAAAGGAAGTTAACATTTTTCATAAATGGAATTAATAAACCTCATACCCTCAAACGAAGACAGAATGGTGTTAGCTTCGGTAGTAAGTATTAATTTTTGTGTTTTTTTTTATTTACGTATATCTTATTACTTAAGTACGGGGTATTTCGTAATTTCGAAAAGAAATAATTTTTTATGTTTTACCACTTGGGGATCAATTGTCGGTAACATTTCGAGGTTATGTTATAGTGATCGAACCAGTTATACGGTGCGACAATATATGGTGGTAATATATGTTATTTGATATCAGCATTAGTTGTTTAGTTAGTGACGGTCGTTAATTTACGAGAGTTAATTAAAATCTAAATCGTGTATAATTGTATTTCAAGAGTTTATAATGGCTACTGACGTTTTAACAAATTTATTAAAAGCATTAAAAGCACGAAATCAAATGGTGTCGACAATGGAGAAAGTGCGTTCCGTGTTATGCCGTATTTGACATAGACTATAAATGTATTTGATGATAAAGGCGACATTGCTGCACTAAATTAGCAGCAGATTGGTCGACTAATATTAATACATCCAGAATTTTTCATAGTTGGCCTGAAGGATTTAAATTACAACTTTCCAGACAAACAGTCGGGCCTGTAAATAACTGGTATTTGGGTAATTTGATAGCAATTACTACTTGTACTGACTTTGAAAGGGCTTTCTAAGATACTTTTGTTGTTAAAGCTAGTTTAGCACAGAGATTTGTCCTTATGCAATAATGTGTACAATCTAAAATGAAAACTGTGACTGCATATTTCCATAGAAAAGTAAAATTTTGTAATACTGTTGGACTAACGTTTGAAGATACCCGTGATTACTTTTTACTGGGACTAGCATCAGATGAATAGCTAGTACACTGATATGGAAAAGTCATAGTAATAATAATGAATTATTAAAGGATATTAAAACTATTGAAAGAATATAAGATGGTCGACAGGAATAGCATAACAATGTTTATAGTAGAACGAGCACACATTTTACACATTTTAATAAGTTGAATAGGGTGCAAAACAGAACAGGTGAGCAAGTGCAGACTCAGAACAAAAATGTAACTAAACACAGGTAAAATACTACAAAACCAGCCAGATAGACTGAAAAATGTCGCAGAAAGTCCACTGAAGTTGTGTATTTTAAGTGTAATCAATCAGAACATATTAGCCGTGATTGTCCAACGATTAGACGAACAATTATTTGTTTTCGGTGTGACAAAGCGGACACATGACAGTGACAATACAACGAAGTAAAGCCATTTAGTTCAAGTTATATTGAGAGAAAGGTAAGATATAATAATGTTAATTTAGTGAAATCTGATGAACAATCAACAGTAATTCAAATGTTGCATGTGAAGGATGCAAAAATCAATAATAAGTGTAATATTGTTTGTCTATTGGACTCTGGATCCACAAGCCAATTCATCCGTATGATGTTCGGGTTAACTAATGCACCATTAGAGTTTGACAGAACGATGGACCGAACAATGGGTGAATTGAAAAATAAAATAATTGTCAATTATTTTGATGATTATTTTATACCGGCCATTAATTGGGAAGATATGAAAAATAAACAATAACAGACGTTCATAACACTACAAAAAGTAGGACTCACTTTGCGACCGAGTAAGTGTGTGTTCTGTGCGACGAGAATTCGACTTTCTTGGCTAAGTTGATTTATGGGTCTTGTAAGTTTATTCAGGCACTTCTAGCCTAATTTTGCGAATTTGGCTAGACCAATTACAGACTTGTTGAAGAAAGGCAATAAATTCCATTGGAAAGAGAAATAAACAGCGGCATTTAGTAAACTAAAGACAGCTTTAACAAAACAACCTGTATTACGCCTGTTTGACGCAAATAAATATAAAGCGTTGATGACAACAATGACATGCACTTGATTAGTAAGAAGACAAATGGGGCGGAAATGAAATATCATTACAGTATACTAGAATTGATGGAAATTGTATCTTTCGTTTATGGTTGATTGGTATTTATACCGCGGTAATTACTGTTTGTCAAGCACTTATTTATATGATCGCAATGTGGACGTCAAAACCCCAGATCGCGCGATGGTTTGACCTGATTCAGGAATATGACATACAGGTACAACACAAACCTGGCTCGAGTATAGGCCATGTGGACGCGTTAAGTCATGCCCCAGTCGAAGAACCGTCTGACACGATTTAATTAATAAACGTTTGGGTGTGCTTGTTGCTATGTCGGATCAGAAGTATATCTGTTGTGTACAACCAAGTGATGCTGAGTTGTCCAGTATAATTAGTGCCGAAGAAAATAACACTTATAATAATAAATTACGTCAAAACTACGAGCTACGAAATTGTATTTTGTATAGAAGGGTGTAAATTCGTAGAAAAGATTATATATATATTATATTTTGTTTATGGTGCCGAATAATCTACGTAAGAGATTATCTATACGTTTCCACGATTGCGGCATTACGTGACTAGGCACATACGTTTCTGCCCCGAATGTACGCTTCACAAGGTATATTGTAGTGAAGTAACGGGTCAGTTACATCCTATTCTACAAGGAGAACGCCCGTTTAATACAGTTAATACCGATCATTTGGAACTATTTCCACGCAGCACTAGGGAGAATCAACATCTCCTAGTACTCATAGATGATCTGACAAAATTTGTTAAATTATACCCCTCACGGACGATTAATGCCAAAAAGGTAATAACACGACTTTATGATTTTATGTACACATATGGTCTGTTGAGTTGGCTTATTATAGACTGAGAAAGTATATTTACTTCAAAAGATTTCACTAGATTTTGTCAAAATCAAGCTATCAAACACCATTTAGTCGCCGTTCGTCATCCACAACGGACAAGTTGAACGCGCCAATGCCACAATTCTGTCAGTCATCAGCACAGCGATAAAAAACGTGATATTATGGGATATCGACTTACATAAAATGATTTTTTGTTTAAATACTGTGGAAAATGCTACCACTTAAGTATCATCATTCCAAGCAATATATGGATTTGAAGCAGGCCTACCTGGAGGTGTTCTCGATACTATAGTTGACGTGAAGAAAAAATATACACATCCTAAGGTAGTCCAAGAAGAGATTCGACAAAAGATTGCAGACAGTTATGACAAGTGGCAATTGTGCCATGATATACATCATCACCATAAAGAGTTGGAAGCAAGAACGATTGTACTCCTTAGATGTCTCCCCCTCAACAAAAGAACCAAAGAAACTGCAAACTAAATTCCGTGAACCATTAGTGGTCATAGAGAGCCGCCTTGGGGACACAAATCAAGTAGTTGACGTTGAAGAAACAGTGAACCGTCGATATGCCACCAAAGCGCATATATTACAGCTCAAGTTATTTGGTAAACCACCTACAGAAAAAGATGTAAGCGGTACTAGTGACGAGGAGAGCGATTCCTTGCCTATATTTAGTAAGAGGTGTTTTTTATTTGGTCAATTTTGAATAATCTTTGGTAGTGGTTTAAAAGATTTTTGTATACTGTGAAAGATCTCTCTACATCAACTGATGTATAGGAGCATCTTTGTAAAAATTGATATCATTAAGATTTAAATCTTCAGATATACCTTCCATGTCAGTACTCGTTCCACAAATAATTTTATATATTTGCTTTAATGTAGTTAAACCGATATTTTTGTTAAATACAGCTTCGAATATTTTATATATATATTTTCCATTATCATCCTGAGCTCCTTATAACTGATTTTGAACTTAATTTACAATACCTAAAGTTCCTCTAATGACATATTTTGTTTTTTTAATTTTAAAATTGAATCTGACTGAATTGAAATTTGACTTAATGTATACCAAATTACTTTTAACACATTTTTGCACGATTTTTATACAAAGATCTTCTTCTGAGTCTAACATATTAACAATTTCACAGATTTTTTCATAATGTTCACTATAGAAAATTGCAGCATTTATTTGTGTACACCAACAAATTACAACAGGTTCTGGATGCAATGGAATTTCTAATGCTTGATTATTAAGTATCTTAATGCGTGATAGTGTTTTTTTACAATTTTTTTTTTAAATTTAATACAATATTGTCTATTGTACAAAATGTGCCACGCAACTCTTCGGAAACTCTATGGAAGCCATGCGTGGTGCATGTAATGTGTATCATTTTTGAATATAAAACACTGAGCGATTTTCTACACTTGATCATATAGAGTGCGGCATTTGATAGAAGCAATAGAACCTCGTCGTGTTTGATTCCATCAGGCCATAAAATGTTAAATGATTTATCAATAAATTTACTAAGAGTTGAGTATTGGTTTTATCTAATGCCTTAGTAATCAGAAGAAATATTTCACCAAATTCATTTTATTCCAAAGTACCTATAATGACATTAGCAATGTAACGTCCCTCTATATCTGTAGTTTTATCCACTGATATCCAAATTTTTTTAATAAATGCGTCCTCTGATGTTTTTTATCATTTCTTCATAGCAGTCGTCAACATAAAACTTTCGAAGTGTCGATTCATTGGCAATATCTTTTTGCATATAAGTACTTAAAAAATATTACTTAATTTGTGAAATGAAATATTAGCCGATATCACACATCTGCATAAATCCTTATTAAAAGTCGACTTTATGAAAGGTTGTTATCAGTTGTAAACAGTTTTTTGTTTTTTTATTTTATTGACGTTCTTAGCTCGCTGATGTTTGTCTGTTCTAATATGCTGGGTAATACTAGATCGTCTTACAAAATCAAATTTTATTACACAAAGTTTGCGCAATAAGACTATATTAACAATAGTAAACACATTTTCACCGAACTCTAAAACAATAGATATTAGACACAACGATAACCTTTGTTTGTCTTTAGGCATAGTTATTTAATTAAAAAAAACAACTGAAATTGAAGTATAATTTTTTTTTTTGGCTTAATTTATTATTATGAAATTTTAACCAACAAATATATAATTTTATAAGGATTTATAAACTTTAAACTTTGTGCATTTTGAGTAAATATAAAGCAAAAAAAAATTTATTAATACAGGAAAATCTTGAAGATTATCAACAAATATGGTTTATATGTATACTTTTCTCATATTATTTTACTTTAAAATAACTGAGTAATGATATAATATAGTTTTACATATTTTTTAACTATAAATACGATGGTGTATTTTTATTTTTCCTATACCAATTGTATAATGAATTATTTATCATTATTTATATACAGAGTGTTCACTTAGTTTAAATTGACTTTAAAACAAATTGTATCAGTAAAATATTTTATGAAGATTGATTGAAATTGTTATATTGTCTAAATATATTGCATAATTACTTCACTTCAACAGAAAAAAAAATGATTATTATGAGACTACTATAATATTTTCCACATAGTAATTTTGATATTATGCTTAGACAAAAAAAAATTAATTGAAAAATATTTTTATCTACACAACTTCAACACATTAAGCATTTTTTTACAAATATATACGAATTAAATCCAAAGTGCTACTCGTCCTCCAAAAAAAAACAAATTACGTTATAGTATAAAAGCTAATAAACAATTTGTATTTTTTCCTGTTCAAAAAATATATACAAATATTGTTATGCATTATTAAAATAACATTTTAGCAAAAATGAGCTTCATGAAATAATGTAAATAATTTTTATTTCATATTTTTAATAATTATACATATAATCAAAAACAAAATTAATTCTGAAAATTTCCGCTGAAATATGATTACAATAGTTTTGTATAAAAATATATTATTACAAACATTTTAATAAAATACTAAAATGAATTGAAATAGTTTTTTTATTTGTGTGAAGTTAAATTTAAGTACAAACGTTTATTATAAGGTTATAATTTATTAAACAAAAAGATTGAAAAGAAAAATTGATCATTATCATGTTTAAAATAAAACATTTCACTTCATTTACAATCATTTTCGTTATTTTTATTATGATGATAAAAAATATAAACAGTGAACAACTTTTTCGGCCTAATCTTCCAGTTGTAAGTAATTAACAAACATTTTATAATAATAATGACTAAGAACTATATCATCTATAGAAATCTGAGTATGTTAAGCGTTTGAATACAAAAAACACTTTCAAGTTAACTCTAAAAATTTTTATATTTTCTTTTAAAAGTTATCATTCCCAGCGAAAATCAAAATTTATTTTCGCTGGTATAATAGTTATAAATATCACATTGATAATTTATAAAATTAAATTTATAATATTATATAGAGTGGAACAGATCTAACTGACAACTCATATAACTCATATAACGTAATAAGTATTTACTTCCATACTTTACATAATATGGACTAACATTTGATACCTTAGGAAAATTGTAAAAAATCAAAATTTAACAAACATCAAAATGCTGTATAAACGTAACTATCGAATTAAAATAAGAGTTTTTGGTATTAAATTTTTTCTTTAAAACTATCTATAAAATGGCTATCTTCAAATCTTAAACAAAATTTTAATAAAAAATTAATTTTTTAAATATTTTTTGTAATTCCGAAAAATAACATAAAACATTTATAGTAAAAATTGATTAAAAAAAAAAAGTATAAAATATTATGTATATTATAATTTATATGAGTTGTTAGTTAGATCTGTTTCATTCTGTATATATACTAGTTCCACTTAGCTGGGGATCTGCCCCACATCTAGAGCACTGCGTGCCACACGCATATAGGACACGTCCTTAAGGTTAAATCATAGATTCCGGTAAAAGTACCCGGCTATCTGGGCACGATAAGTTTTCGCCCAGGTCCACAATATTGATCATTCATTTAATTTTCAATAATACATTTTTAAAAACCTAGTCCACGCCAATAACAACGGAGTGGTTATTCTTCATAAATAGTCATTTAAACTGAAATATGAAATCTAAAACTTGTGTACTATCAGTTGTATTTATTTTATATACATCTCACACAAATGTCATAAATATGTCAACTAAATTAACTTCACTAAAGATGTCTTTCTTTCAAATGAGAATGATTATTTTACACTTATCAAATCTTTTTGTTTTATGTAAAAATAGGGAATATAAATTTGTCAATTCTATTTTAAAATAAATAAGTCATATATACAATTGTAAAAGAAAATAACAAACCAACGTACTTTATGCATCAGTATTTGTTATACAGAGTGTTCAAAAAGTAAGGAAACGGGTCAATTCTTACAAAAATGAGAACAATAAAATCCGTTTCTTTACTTATTGAACACTCTATACATTGTTTGGATAACTTATCAATAAAAATAGCCTTGTTAAAACTGACAATGAGCTCAAGGGGAAAACAAATCTTATTTTTGCATGAGAAATCCCTTAGTGACCAGTCTGTTCGAATGTGCTCTCATATTATGCTATACCTATTATTGTTCGTCTTATGTATAGTGTCAAACATTAAAACAATATTGTGTTAACTTTTTCTTATAATTTTTCTTATATAAAATATTCTCAATTTATATTGTTTTTTTGGTAACTTTCTATTTTATAAAGTGTGTCTAAGTGTCCTCAAGTTACTATCGTCAGGAAAACATCGATACTCGAAGTAGCCGATTATTGACAGGAAATAAATGTTCAGTAGTTTAAACTCAAGTATTTAACCTCATCCTACTAATTCTACACAGAACCTGGGACACTGTTTCTGATATAACAGATCGTACTCTAAAAATCCTAGACTCACCCAATTCCTCATTTCTTTCATCTTTTCATTATCTTCTCTTTTTATTATTTTTAGAGTTACGATAATAGGCTCAATAGTAAAGTGGCATTTGGTTCCGAGGACATCATAATAATAATTCAATTTTAACATTATTTTTGATATCAACAATATTAACAAAATTGTGTTACAAAGTCATAGACTATAATTTGTTACTATAACAAAGAATTTTATATTCATGTCAAACTCCAATGAATTAATAATACTCTAAATATCGAAACCAAATATACTGTAGTATTAGTACCCGAAAAAATACAGATGACTAGAAAAACATATCCTACAACTTAATATCTTTAATGTTTGATGTCTTATTATTTGAATACAAAAATAAAATACAATTGTGTATTCAAAACATATTTAATAATAACTTTAAGAATACTTTACAATTAATAAACTGCAATTTATAAATACCCTATTTTAAATAAACAAAATAATTTTATTTATATTTGAGTATTTATTTATATAAATGTGTGCATTACAATTATTGCAATAGCACATACAAAATAAAAATTTTTAGACATTGTAAAGTAATTATTCCAACATTGGTTGTTTTTCAATGTTTTATTAATAATATTTAAATATACATATTTATTATCATCGCAATAAAATTATTCCTTAGAGCAATTGAACAAAAAAATAATAATATACGTATTGTAATCATATAACCCACTCAATTACTTACAGAATAATAATAATTTAAAATTTTTTTTTTATTATTATCTTTAGTTACACATTATTCTTGAATTATTAACTATGTAATACTTTTTAAGTTCATCCCTTATGCCTGGTAAGGGTGTCAACTTTGTTTTTTTAAATGGTAACACATATTTTTAATTTAATAAAATGTTTGAGTTTTTAATTTAATAGTAAATGGCATTTGAATTTTTAGTCTAACTTAATTTGTTTATTAGATATAAACATTTAAAGTTTCAAATTTTTGAGTTAATATATAGGTATAATACATAAGGGATTACAAATACAGGTAGCTAATTGATTTTTTATGACATCGATATTAGCAGGTACACAGCATTGTTATTATCAATGATAGTAAGGTACATTGTTGTGAGTTTATAAATACACTAACTGACAATACAAAAAGTATATCTATTGATAGTCATAATTTATAATAAACAATCCGTGAATGTGATAGCAATTTCATAAAAAACCAATTAGCTACCTGTATTTGTAATCCCTTGTGTATTATACCTATATATTAACTCAAAAATTTGAAACTTTAAATGTTTATATCTAATAAACAAATTAAGTTTTATTAAAAATTCAAATGCCATTTATTATTGAATTAAAAACTCAAACATTTTATTAAATTAAAAATATGTGTTACCATTTAAAAAAACAAAGTTGACACCCTTACCAGGCATAAGGGATGAACTTAAAAAGTATTACATAGTTAATAATTCAAGAATAATGTGTAACTAAAGATAATAATAAAAAAAAAATTTTAAATTATTATTATTCTGTAAGTAATTGAGTGAGTTATAATAAAAAAATCACCCTGTATATCCTATTGAAAAAAAAATAAAAATTTCAGCTAAACTTTTTAATTTTCACCAAAATTATTTCTTTTTGTTTCCATCAATATTAGAACATTTATTTAGATATTATTCAATATTTATGACAAATATTTAAAAAAGAACTACTAATTTCGTTTTCTTCTTTTTTTGTATTATATTTATGTTAGACTATTTAATTCTCATTATAGCGTATTTTTAAATTATAACTATTTTTAAAGCATTATAAATTTTTACTAGGGTGAATTTAAAATAAAAGTTAAAGCAGCATTTAAGTTTAATGAAAGCATAAACTATTTAATAGACATAAATCTTCATGCGACTAAAACTTCAACATCAAGAGCAGTATTAACTGGAAATATCAATAATAAAATCCCATTTGACGATTCATTAAACGTAAGAATTCTTGGAAAGTATTTAAAAAAAAATTATTTAATACATTTTTTAATTTATAGTCAAATGTAAATATGGCTGTTTTAAGTAAAATTGGAGGGTGGAAGAGTAATGCATTTGTTTATTCAACTAAAAATGCTTGTAGCATTTCGAAAAAATTGTTAGGAGAGGGTTGGAACTTTACTATGAACCATTTAAATATTAGTGATTATGATTGTCCTGTAAAACTAGTAAGTTAATTGTTTAATTACCATACTAACTAACTTTTAAAAATATCAGCAAATTTTTAGGGAAATTATAAAATGACAAATTTGGATCCAATAGAAGTTTTTGAAAGAACAGTACTTAAGGCGAAACAATTCTTTTATGGTTCATACAAGATCAATTTATTTTTTACAAAAAAGAGTGGATTTGAAGTTGGCAGTTTTGTTATTATTTTAGATATATTGAGACCATGGGAAGATTGAGCATTACTTAAAATTATTTTTACCTTAAATTTTTTCTTAAACTTTATATCTTATGTATATGTTAATTATTATATAACTTAATTCAAAACATTAATTTATATACCTTTTATTTGTTTATTAGTGCAATTATTAGAACGAATTCAATTGTTTATTTGAATAATAATTTTAATCGATGTATCCATGGTGACGTAGTATAATTAATAATGATTTACATGCCTTATTAATTATATAAACAAATTTTCATTTAGTTATTTAATTAATAGTAACCTTTATTAAAAGCATTAATACTATATATTCAGTTATTATAATTGTAAGTTATTTTTAAGATAATACCTTTAAAATTATTAGTAATTATATTGCAAGCGGGCTTTTAGATTAGTAATTCGGCCTGTAACAACAACGTGGTTTGCCACTTACATAACGACTAGCTAGAGTAGCAAGGGTCGCCACCACCTAGGCGAGGTGTCACACCTATCAGATATGATTACCGGACCATAGGTGGAATTTAATTTTAAGTTAATTAAAAGTATAATCTAAGTTAATATGTCGTTATATGTATAAATTACTATAATGCCTCGTGGTTTATAGAACACAATTATGCCAATCAAAGTTGTATGTGGTTGATATGTAAAACATACCGTAGCCCGTGTCTAGATTAAGTAATAGGGATAAATACACGCGAGTAATTAAGTTACTCGCGCAATAAAATAAATATTACAGTTGAAAATAATAAGGAAATTTAATTTAATTGTTAAAAAAAGAAAATTAAGTTAAACATGGACAAAAATGCGAATGCATCAAAAACCATGTCTACAAATAAAGGCAATACAAATAAAATAAAATATTTAAACAAATAATATTACAAACATCACGGACGGTATTGGAACACATCCGTTAATGTTAATCGGAAATTAATGAAGAACACCAGGAGCGGTCTGGACACTCGCTCCTTAGCGTTGGTTAGAAGAAAAANACTCGCTCCTTAGCGTTGGCTAGAAGAAAAGGGAAACACGTGCTCTCCACACATAAACAAAATTAAGTTAATTTACAATAAAATAATTAATAAAATATAGCTCATTACATAAATATAATATAAAAAAGAAAACGATACCCGGTCTCCGAAGAGACCCATCCGATGGTCTGGATGCTTCGCCGAAAAGATCTGGCCGTTCGCCGTTGGAGGTTCTACTCCATCATTGAAAAATATGTCAATAAAACAACAAATGTGTGCACCCTAGCACGGTCAATGACAGAAGAAAGAATAGAGAAGAGTCAACACCGATCTAACGGCAATTTCATATCGATAACGGCCAGTCTTTTTGGAAGGGATCAATACTGATAAACAATTCGATTTTAATTATATTTCTCTTTTATCGCCTTATCTAGCGGTCAGAGGCAAAATAATGAGTGGTTGACACCGCTGTGTCAGAAAAAGGTTCTTTCGCGCGATAAAATAAATAAGTAGACATAACAAAAAATCATAAACGGTCCACCTTCGAATTTGTGACGTTACAATATATAAGAACAAAATCAACATACATTTTTATTTGTAGACTGACATACTAGAGAGATACTTATATAAGGGTAATAATAATTATTATTATTTACATTTTTTGTGAGTACCAATAAATTATAGAAAAAGTTTCAGTTATTATTCTGGTTAAAAAAATTCTTTATAAAAAACATGTAGATTGTGAACTTATGAATATTATAAATTTATAAATTAGTGAACAGGACTTAATTTAGAAGAAAAAACAAGTATTTTTAACAAAATAAAAACAAATGTAATATAAAATAATATTATTAATGATTATTAAAATCACATAATGCTAAATAATGTATAATTTGTTTTAATTTTTAAGTAAATTCATTACATATTGTAACTCATGTAACAATATTTCAAACGACATTTTTAGATCAATAAAAAAAATAGGAAAATACAGATTTATCACAACATACTTCCTTTGGTTAATTAAGGCCAAATAAAATATCTTAATACATGGCGTATCAACGACACGGCACAATGGGGTGGGGGTATGTAGCATAGTTGGAACATGTATAGATGACATCTGACAGTGATTATAATTACTAATTTTACATTTTTTCTTCGCCATCAAGACATATAGTTTTATGTTAGGCGAAAAGGCAAATAGTTTTTGTAATTTATTAATTATCACAAGTGTAATTTTGTTGTTTGTCATTAAAACATATAGTCCTATTTTTGATAATTATAAATTTTGTATTATTTTTATATTTAAATTATTATGAATAAGTGTGTTTCAGACGATTGTACAGCAATTGACCAGTTCTATATTATTACCAGTACCTGTGAGTAAAGTAATTGCATATATTAATTAAGATTTAGTTAATTGTAATTATAAAATATGTTTACAACAATCTAAACTATAAGATTTAAACTGATGACTCCACTGTTTTTTTTCTCCTGAAATTGAACAGATTAAATTTTTATTTTTTGTAATTATTTTAATTATTTCTAAGAAAAGAAATTATTATTAATTATCAAATTATCATAAAATTTCAAATTCAAAAGAAAAAAATAATAATTCATATAATAAAATCTAAAAATGTTATTATTACAATTTCATTTTAATATTTGTCAACATTTCGAACTATTTCAATTTATTGATTAGGAAGCATAATCATGTAGATATTACAGATTGATCGCCCTCAGGAGGGCACAAAGTGGTACAGTTTTAACGTACCTGGTGCCTCAAACTCCTACTTCTAGAAAGCCTCAGATTGGTGAGTCCAGTGGAAAAAAGGTAATGTTGTTGTAGGGGAATTCCTTCACATTATAATTGACAATACCTTTTGGAAGCATTGAGAAATTGTAAAAAAGGATACAAGTTAGATACGAATTTTGTTGTACATGTATCGATAGTACATACAGTCAAATAGTTTAAAGACATTCATCCAAGGATATCAACTCTTACATTAAAAACAAATGATTTGAACATAGTGATAATCAATACACAATCACTCACAGAGGATAAGGGGATGATGAAAAGGAGGAATTCTATGTCATGCTGGAAGATGTGTATGACTCTTCGACATAAAGCATTAAGATAAATGTAGGAGATTTTAATGCAAAAGTTGGACAGAAATCACAATACAAAACAATCACAGGAGGCCAAATTTACATGAAGAATCCAACATTAATGGTCAGATATTCATATAATATGCAACAGGGAAAGGACTGAACATAAAAAATACAAGTTTTCCTAGTATAAATATTTACAAGTACACATAATAATATAAAAATCAATAAAGTTAAATCAAAAAGCATTAGTAGAAATAGAGGATTAAGATAAAATTTGGAAAGGGTTAAAGAAATATATTAAAGAAGTGTCTAATACAACGTTAAGGAAAAGAAGAATACAAGAAAACCTTGATTCATTGCGAAATGTGAGGATATGATCATTAGAAGAAAGATAGGAGAAAAAATAGCTAGAAGATGTTATCAACAATTAGACAATTTAGAACAAGACAAAAAGAAGTATACAATATATTTAGACGTGAAAAGAGAAAATTTGTTATAAAACATAGCAGAAAAGACAGAAAATCAAAAACAAAGAATTAGAGAGTTAAAACAACAAATAAACAAGCTTAATAGAAAATATGAAAAACTGAATGATATTTTTAAGTGAACGATCGTTAGCTAATAGCTATAGAGGAAGCAATAATAGAAAAACTATTTCTACAAACTACTAAATTGCGATGAAAGAGGTATTTAGTTTCAACCATTAAAATAAGAATAACGTCGAATGCCCAGAATAGACACTACAAGAAATTGAAATACAAATAAAAAGTAATAAGTAATCATTCCATTCGAGATGGATTACAGGCAGAATTATTGAAGAAAAGAGGAAATTAAGTAAGTAGACGGACATATGGTATTTTATTAGAATAATCTAGATTACAGAAAAATAGCCTGAAGAATAGAAAACTGCGATAATATGTCCAATATATAAAAAAGGAGATTATAAAAATTCCAACAACCATAGAAGCATTTCGTTATAAAATATAACATAAAATACTATCCAATTGTATTTTAGACAGAATGGAAGAAAAATCAAAACAATCAATCGGAAACTATCAAGGTGGTTTTTGAATAGGAAAGTCAACAGTAGACAAAATGTTTATAGGAAAGCAAGTAATCCAAAAAGTATGGATGTTTGATAAGAATTTACATGTCCTCTACGTAGATTTCAAAAAAACATATGACTGTATTAATAGGAAGGTATGGTAAACATCCTGAAGGAATTCCATTTTTCTAAGAAACTTAAATGCAGTATGTGTAATGGAAACGACGGTGAAAGTTAATGTTGATAGATTAATATCGGAGCCTGTAGGGATTGCATCAGTTGAGAATGGAGAAGGAGGAAAAATACTGAGCTGGAGACTTTATTCTAGAATACAAATATATTAGACGTAATTAAAAAGCGAAAACTACAATAGGCGTGCCATGCTTGACAAAACGGTAATGAACTGATAAAAGCAGTAATATAACAAAACCCGTGTCAAAAAAGACCGTTGGGAAGACCCAAAACAAGATGATAGGTTAAGAAAGACGTTGAATTGCTTGGCGGAGGTTCGGATTGAAAAGAAAAAGCGTCAAATAAAGAAAGATGGAGGTTTGAGTGCAAAATGGTATGATCCTCAGTGGCCTTATAACCACAGAAAAAGAAGAAGTGATTTTGTATATGACACTCATTTTTACAAAAACTTAAACATTTAATTTTTGTAAAGAAAAAATTAATTTGGTTTAAAAATTCTAATTATATTTATTTCAATAATTTTATTTTCTACCCTTCAGGGTAAAAAATCTTAAATTAAATGTTTATAAATGGATACTCCTATTTTTAACTTGATATTATGATAAAATAAAACATTTTTATACATAAAGTCGGTAACCGGTCTACAAATAATAAATAGTAATAGAGAATACAATAATAATTGAATTCTAAATAATTACATGTAAAGTGTATTTTTTTTTTATTTACATTTTTAGTAATTTTTTATTAAATTCCTCCATCAATTTTACTCCTTGTTTTGTTGCATCGTTAACTACTATTATGCCTTTACAAATACTTTTTCCATTGATATAATGTTTATGTATACTTCAACCTTCTGGATTTCAATTAAAAAATTAGTATTGATTTGAAACCTTGTTATGATATAAGGCAG